ACGATAAGAGCAGTGAACTGTGATAATAGTGATAACTGGAATGATGGCTTGAAGAGGCTTAAGTTCGGAACGTACAATAACAGCTGAGCAAATAAATAAATAAATGAATAAATATTAATCTTTATTGTATAATGTTCGCATTCAGGTAAATTGTCGAATTCGTATGCACTGTGTCCGTATTGTTTTAATAATCCACCATTCGAGGGTATGATCAAGAGTGTCGGGTGTAATCAGTGTGTGCACCCATCATGCCCAAATTCTTTGATGTTTGTTTATTGTTATGATTATTGTTATAGTTATTATTATGGTTATTAATATTATTGTTATTATTATGTTTATTATTATTATTATTGATTATAATTTTTATTGGTGTCTCCATTATAATTATTGATCTAACCAGCAAGAGCGAAATCTGTCAACACTAGAAATTTGGCGCGAAAATGGTCTAGCAGGCAGGTGGGCGGGGCATGATAAAAGTGGAGAGAATCATCTCTGGGATCATTGTTGTTGTGTGTTCGGATGGAGTGAGGTTGTGTCTGGGTTATATCCAATTTGGCGTGATGTGCGTATGTGTGAGTTGCTAGGTGATTGGTGAATGTAGTCTGAGTAATAGGATTTTGNTGAATGTAGTCTGAGTAATAGGATTTTGAAGATGCTGAAATGACGGTTTTTTTGTGAAATGTTTTGAAATTTTCAAGTGTTTCAAAACGGTTGTCTCTTGAATGTTGAAGTTTGGTGTTTTGGAAAGTGAATTTTTTGAAAATGTTGATAATTTGAGGACACAAGGTCTGGTGCAATGTCCACGTAAGTGTGCGTCAGGTCATGGTGTGTTGGTGCTCGATCCCCAGTCAGCACCCAAATGGCGATTCGCTTGTAATCGCTGCTCATCGGTGCTGATCGCGTTCGAAGGTGCGCAGAAACTGAAGGTGCTCGAGAGACAATGCGAGGCGTGTTTGGCGCAGTGGGTGCAGGTCGATTATAAGGTATGGGGATGGGGTCGATTTTTTAGTATCATTTTTATTATTGTTATTTGTTATTGTTAATTTTATTGTTGCTATTGTTATTCGTTATTAATGTTATTGTAATTGCTGTATTTCAGGATGACAAGTGTCCTTTACCAGATGGAGAGTCGCAGTTCAAAGGGTGTATATTCTGCGATGAGTCAGTGCAGTCGTTGATCAATATGAATCATTTGTTTTACGAAAGGGCTGATAGCAATATGATTGGACAGCAACAGGGGGGTGGTAGAAGGGGTGGTTCGAGAGGAGGGGGACGGGGGCG